ATGAGTGCAAGGCTAGATAGCCTTTCTGTTTTCATGGTGTTCCGCAGCCATGTTAGCAACCTAATTATCAATATACATAAGTTCCGTTTCTATTTTTTGTTTAAATTTTAAACAGTTTTCAAAGTTTATAACTGTTTAGGCATCTGCAAAATGCCGCAAAAACTTTTACTATCATGAAAATAGAAGTCTTTACACTTGAGTGCAGACAAAGCAATAGGGAATTTTTTTTTTTTGAAGTGAAGGGGTCAAGGCAACTGTAGCTTGAAGAGGCAGCAAGTGGAGTAACCCCTGCTATTCAGGGTCTGAATATATGTTCAGGGGTAATTACCCCCAGGATTCTAGGGGGGGGGGGTAAATAACCCCAATAACCCCCCTTATATCCGCCACTGTGATTTAGATTTCTAGAGTTGTTAATATCTCCTAGCAAACTGTTCCCCATACATTCACTACTCTCTGACTAAAAAAATTGGATCTCAATTCCAATCTCGACCGGGAGGGTAATAAATTAAGTTACTTGCATTAGAGAAATTAATGTTGTTAGAGGAAAGTAAATGATCATTTTTCTTTTTTCCATAATTGAAAAATCAATTTTATGAAACATAATTAGCCTCATAAGAGTGTGTGTGTTCTAGATCTGAGAGTAAGAGTAGGTCAACTACACCTGAAGGAATACCGCGCAGAGGAAACCCTGTTATACCCCCAACAGTGAAGAACACGGCCCCGCTACAGAAAAGGTTGGCGGCTGTTTCCCAGCAGAAGGGGTCAACCAGGGTCAAAACTGAAGCTGGGCTCAATATTAAATTAGAAGGAGACAAGTGAGTAAATTTATTTTTAATCATGATCAAAGATAGCTCACCAATTTTTATTGAAATTGTACAAGATATAGACTTTGATTAAAAACTGTTCTTGAACATTTTATAACTGTTTTGGTGAGCTTCAATCTCTAATTCATAAATTTTTAGATATTTTAAAATGGTTATCTCATTTGAATTCAGCATTAAATTTTCAACGAGTGATTTTTTATTTTTTTGTATTTCTTTTGCCAAAATTAAATCGTCCGATCACAACGATTAAAAATTTTTTTTGTTAGGTTGCAAACTTTCGATTTAAAATGTAATGTTTAGACGTGGAAGCTCGTCTCGAGGTGAGCAGAGTAAAGTTGGAGTTAAAGATAAGAATAAAGAACCCTTCAAGATGAATCTACCGAAAAATCAGATCAAGCTGACTCTGAAGACGGCTACCGGGAAGCCGGTGAACCAGACTGTTTTAGAGAAGCTAGGTTCGAGTAGAGAGGAACTGGAAACAGAACTTCGGAAACGGAAACTTGAAAACCCGCATTCATCAGAGACAGTGAAACAGAGGAAGCTGGAAAATGAGGTAACATTTTTACATCTAAATATATAAAGTAGTAATCTCTGTTTGTTTATTTATATGTCTAATCATAACTCATAAACCACATAACCGATTTGTCTCAAATTTTTAATGGGGAACTCCTCTTGAACCACGAGAATGTTCTTAGCTTGGTTAAACAAACCTAAAATGAGTAAAGTTGGCTAAAAGTTAAAATTTGTTCCAGGCATAGCAGTTTTGATATTATCATATCTTTAACCCTACAAAGGCTGTGGCGTCCTGCCCCCCCCCCCCTTAATAAAAGACCTGAGAGTAAAGGTATTAGGTTGCTATATAAGTTTATAGCCCAAGTTTTCAAGGCCAGCACATAAAAAAATAAATTAGACCACTAACTGTGGTTCGGGTGGCTTGAACTAAATGGCAATAAACAGGTCGGAAAATGCCTGTTCAGTGTTCATTGTCAAGGTTTATGTTTTGCTGTAAAATCAAATTTCCCCCCATCCCCTTCTTAGGTTCATTTTTCTGTTCTTGCTGGGTTATTTCTACGTAAAGACATGTTAAATCTCTAGTCATCGAAATTTATGCGCTAACCTGGAATAAGGGCTAAACCTAAATAGTTATCAACATGATAATTATAAATAAAAATATGTTGAGGAACAGATTGAATTGAATTGAAATAAATACATTCAACTTGCATAAAAGACTGATGAGGAGGAGGGGGGGGGGGAATCCAGAAGAATTAACAACGCTTAAACTTATCTAGACCCTAAAATATTGAAAAATAAACAAATTAATTCTGTTTAAGGAGTTGATGGAAACACTGAAACAAAGATTAAAAAGCAACCTTGAAGCTAAACAGGTAAATGTCGTCTTGAAAGAACCGGGTGGGAGTCTAAATATGCATCTTAAATTAACTCTAATTTCATTTTTAAGTCCATTCAATGAACACTTTTTAAATCATCCTTTGTATTTTTAAATCCATAAAAAGAATGCAAAGATTTCTTATTACAGGGTTATCCACAAAGGATGAGACTTTGGAGACGTCTGTACAGAATTCATACTGATCGTTTTTAATATTTTAGCAGGGAAATTCTAGTTCTATATTTAACAAAAGATTCACTAAGTTTGATTTAATGAAAATTCGAGTTCTTGGTAAATCTGTGATACAGAAGATAAATATTATTCTCATATATATTAGGAAGTTATCGGAAAAATAATGGTATTCAATATTGATTGAATCGCACGATAAGATTATGAATCGATCTTCAGAGTTTACAAGATACTTCTTTTATCCGATATTTCTGTAAATCTTTGTGAGACTTTTATGTTGTAAATTTCTGGATCAAGCATCGTTCTCCATCTTGTGCAATCTACAGATTGATATTTAAACATACCCGTATTGGATATCAAGATTAAGCGTTGAAGATTATTGCTACTCAGTTCCGACCTCCGTCTCTGTAGAGTTTACCCTTGAACTTTCTTGTCATGACCACATGCAGAGTTTTGTTGTGGTCCGTGGAAGACGAATGAAATTCCAGCCTTAAAAAATATATTAAACTTAAACATTTTTATCCACTATTTTTTCTCCCCCCATCCCCATGCATTAGGAATAAAAATGCATTCATAAACGCCAACGTGTTATACAAAATAATTTTATTTTAAAAAAAATAATTTAGTTTGAATTTCAGGCAAAAGAAGCTGAAGCTAAGTCCGTAAAAGCTAAAAAATTGCTTGAAGTGATAGCTAACGAGAAGAAGCCTGAGAAAGGAAAAGAGAAAGGAAAGGAGAAGAAACCAGGCGGGGGAAGTGATACTAAGACAAGGAGAAAAGAGGAACTATTAAAACAGCTGAAGGCTGTAGAGGATGCAATTCACAGAAAAAGAACGAAGTTGGAGAAATAAACTTTTTCAGTTTCCTATTTCTTCCTTTAAACTATTTGAAGAGTCAAAGCCAGTGGAGCTCTTTTTTAACAAATACAAATTTGCGAATTATCTTTTTTTTTAATTTTTAATAGAGCATTAGCAAGAAAGTAGATGTAAAGCTGCCAATTTACCTAATGTATTTAATTTTTAAATGTACAATATATTGCATATTATATTATTGTACATTGCGTTCATACTTGAATTGTAGTAGAAGTTTTCATAAAATATGTTTTCTAACTTATTTTAAATCAACAAGTGAAATTTAAGTATTATTGTACATTCTTTCACTTTGAAAGTTAGATATATATTGTACTATTGATTTTGCATATTCGTTTTCAACTTTCATATCAGTTTTTCTTCTGTAAGTACCGGTCACTAGTGTACACTGTACAGTGTACAGTACTGCTTACTGTAAACACATATGTAAAGCCCTGTACTGTGCACATACAGATTGTACATGACGGTACAAGTACAATGTACAGTGTACACGTGTTAATTTATGCAATGTACATTAATATATATATTTGATATTTATATTTTCAGAATATGTTGAAAATTATTTGATGTGAGACGACGCGGTGTGTTAAACTGATTCTTGAATTCTGACCTTTTTCAGGTAAATCAGGTACATCGGAAACATTATCATTATTATCATTATGTAAAAGTAAATAGTGTTTCTTTTAGGGGTCGTTATTTACAAAAAATAAAGGTCTTCATTCTTAACAACGTTTCAATTTAAAATGGGATTTTTTTACCTGTTCAGTGTTCATACATTATTTAGCCTTTTTAAAAAGGGAAGGGACTATAGAATTTGAGTGTATTTTTAACTGAATTTCAATTTATAGAGTCTAAGATTCTTTTCCCAACGTTACTCTATATGCTTTGTCTGATCAAGCAGAATTTAAATGTCCATGTTTTTCCTCTTTAACTGATAATTCTAAATGTCGGTTCTCTGCCTCTTTGCGCATTTTTGTTGCTGCAGCAAGAGAAGAGGACTTATCGGAATTTAACACTCAATCTAGAAATTTAACAATAGTGCATACGAATCATACTGGTGTCCTAATAAACATGGAATTATGGGACGACTTTTATATCGGTCAATACTCAATTTAAGTAGTATCCCCGTTAAAAAATTATCTTTTATTACTTGTCTCGGGCATGTTAAAATTGTGGTTTACCGATTATCTGACATCAAAATTGTCGTAAATTTTGAGATATTTGTCCAGATTCAAATTTGTTTACAAAAAAAATTGTTTAAATTTTGATATCTCCGTCAATTTTGAAGATACAAAGTAGGCACACTACATTTTGGAAAGCTCAAATTACGCAAAATCTTTCATAAGACATTTGTATGTAACTTATAAACTATCAGAATCCACTCAATTCCCATGTTTTAGGACACCCTTTTTATCATTTGGAACGTAATACTGTGATATTGGGATTTTCACATTAACGGGGCTAGGATATAGCTTTTACTCTGTAAACATTTTCTCCATCTTCCCTCCTAGATGATGAATTTTTAATATGAGGGGGGACTGGATATAACAGTGGTGTGCAGAAATGTGTGGAACAAATGTCGTAAAATTGGTATGTATTTTTACTATATATTTCTCCAAGTTAGTTCAGGGAGCAATTTAAAAAGTATTAATTAAGCTTACATTGAGCTTTAACAATAAATAAAAAAACTAATTCGTTGCTAAAATGTAAAATCTCTAATGACATTCCAAAAGATCTAACTAAAAAAATAATGAAAGCTTAAACAAAAATAATTCCACCGTTTTATACTGCATATACAAAATACATAGAACTCACTTTTTAACGTTATATTTATCTTTTCTATTTTGATCAAATGGGGTGTGGGGGGGGGGATACTGTTCACTCTACGTACTTAGCGGGACACTTATTCAGTTACAATTTTTTGAGAGAGTAAATAATCATTTTTGTTACCACATCCCCAAATTTTTGCGTCCATGTAACTGAATTCATGACGCAAAGCAAAATCTATCTCGTATTTGAAAATGTTAGACTATCAGTATGTTATGTGTGAAGTACGTGTAATGGCTGCGTCGCTTTCATTTTTGCCCATATTTGCAAACATGGTTTTTATTGTTGGCTTAATTCCATAAATTAGGGGTAATAAGGTTTGCGTAGATTCGAGTCTAGGCTCATAAATATTTCCCCAGATGCTGAGAACCTTTAATGCAAGGGAGTAGACTCTGAAGGTACCGGGCTGGGACTGGTCTGTGAGTGTGGTGACCCCTGCCGTAGTTTCATCAACATTAGACCGCCATTTTGTGGATCATACACATCATTTCGGCTTCTTAATTTAATCCTTAACGCAATCCTACGCCTCAAAATTCAAGTTGGTGAACTTCAAAAGGTACGATGAGTGATGGACTTTTCAAAAATGTTTATTTTTGAAAATCAAAATATGACCTGACCCCAGATTTCCTGAGAGAAAATCAGATAAAAATTGAGTGCAATTATCAAGTCGCTTTGTGTATATGCCTCAAGATATTTGTGACACTGCAAGTTGACCAATTTCAATGAATTCAAACTTTGACCATTTTTGGGCAATTATATACCAAAATTATGACAGAAAAGTGTGTAGAAACAGAGAAATAATGTTTTGCCGGTATTTTGCGTACATTTAAATAAATACCGGCCAGCTGATATACTGTGTACTCTAGTATAGGTTACAACACAAATATTTAGTACACTTTTCTCACTTTTAAGCATACTTTTGCGTTCTAAAAACGATAAAACATAATTTTTATTTAAAAAAGAATATAAATTACAACAAAAAAAATATCAATTTTATCATTTTTTTACACAAGACAATTTAGTTAATATTTTTCAGTTGGATCAGAATATTTAGTTCACTTAATAATTTGAAAAGAAGATTTTCATAATGTTAATTTTTTTTTAAATGACAAAAAAGATATTATTATCATGAAACTAATTACATGAATAATATATTTTAGTTTAATTAAAATACCTTTTTCATTGATCTTTAAATGATTCAAAATTTGACTGTTTTTTTAACAAAATATTTTTATTTTAGTTTCAGAGTGATGAGTGATCCAATGGAGGTGGATACAAACCCCTTCGGAGTAGACTTCTCATTGAAGTAAGAAGAAAACCTTTTTTTATTAATTCTTGAAATTTTTTAGTATTTGCAATATTTAATGAGATAGTTTCGGTGTTTATATCTTTTTTTGACGGTTTTAATAAAAGTAAATAAAAATATTTTTGATCTGGGGTTCTCTTGCTTTTATACACCACTTCTCTTTAGTTGTAGTTTTAATGGCCTAAACTCGCATTAAAAAGTACTAAAAAATAAAAATAAAAAATTTACTTAACTGTTTTTAAAGTATGTACGGCCGATTTAGAAATTGCTGCATATTATTTGCTAGATCAATTCAGATAAAAAAGTATAACCCATTAATAAAAAATATTAAATTGGGAAATTTATATAATTTATCGTGACAAAATAAGCGCCAAATAATCAACATTTTATGTTTAACGTTTGTCATTGTTTCAGAGGAAAGACGAAACAATCCCAACTAGATGATCTGCTAGAAACTAGAAGAAGATCAGGACGGAAACGTGAGGACAAATCTTACGTAGAATGTCCGGACATCGTGATAGAGGAGGACTATTTGTCCAAACCGAGTCCTGCGAAACGACCGAACCTAAACAACTCCCTCGGGAGGATCGGAAACCATTTAAACAACTCCAACGGGATCGAGATGGAGTCGGAGGAGGAAGAAATAGACGATGACGATGAAAATGAAATTCAAATACCCTCGCCCAAAGTAAGATTCTATCCTATAATTCACATGTTTTACTTTTAAAAATAGTTATTTATTTTAATATTTTCGCAGGAAATTTCAAGCTCTGAACTCCGAGAGCGATTGGAACTGGTGAAAAAACTGAAGAGTGAATTAAAAAATGAAGAAATGGCGCTGGTGCTGCTTAAGAAGCTGAAGCAGTCCCAGCAGCTACCCCGTGAAGTGACAAGTCTGGGGGGAGGAGCTACCTTAACTGCTTCTAAACCACCACAGAAAAATGATCCAAAGAACCTACAGAGACAAAACTCATCAAATGATATGCTCAACTCTGAAAAACTTGTAAGTTATCCTCGACTTGTTATAGATGTTTTATTTTTACTCTTATAGTTTTCAAATTTAACTTAGTTGTATTATTTAGAAGATGTTGGCGAAGACCAATTCTAACTCGCTAAGTTCAAGTCTGCTGAGCGCTGGACTCGACTCACGGCTGCTCGCGGCACACGCGGAGAAGAAAACTGAGCAGCAGAAGAAGGAAGATTCTCAGACGCAGCAGCAACGACAAGCCGCTGCTAAGCTCGCACTACGAAAACAACTGGAGAAAACCTTGTTGCAGGTCAAACATTACATGCGATTTTCAAACATTTTTATATTAAATTTCCCCGCTTTTTCTCGCCATTTTTTGTAAATTTTTATTTTGTTTATTTCAGATTCCTCCCCCTAAGCCTCCTCCACCAGAGATGCATTTTATCCCTAACCCTGCGAACACTGAGTTCATCTATCTGACCGGTCTAGAGGAGTGTGTGACAAGGATTCTTAACCTAGACGCTGTTATTCCTTCAATGCCTGTTCCCTTCACTTGCTCTCAATGCCAGACCGACTTCACTCCGACCTGGAAGTGGGACAAGGCGGTCAAAGGTAGGATATTCTTATCTCTCGGGATATCCTTAGTATTTTTTTGTGGAAACTCAACGTGATAGGACCGTCGATGTTTTAATCTGAGAATGTATCATCTCATATTTCGGCTCACAGAAAACGTGGTAAAATGGTTAAAGAGGGTCCTATATCGCAATGAATTATCATCAAAATTTTAAAGCCAAAATACGTGCCCTACATTTTCTGAATTTTATAGGTGACTTGTTAACCTGTTATTCTGAGATTTTCTATTTTATCCCAAATATAGAGCTATGAAAAATCCAATATGGTATCCTACATTTTACAGTCAAGTCAACATATTCATAATCATAAAATCTAAATTTTTTAAACATTCGATTTTTTTTAATGATCTAGTTGAGCTTTATTTTTATCTTCAACCATGGCAAAATTACTGAATATCGAAGATATTTATTTTTCTTGTGTTAGAGTAGTGAATAATATATATTTGTATGGTAGAGGCTAAAGTCTGGATTCTCGGAATTTAAAATAGTTGAGGTCGGAGAAAAGTAGGAAGGATTTGAGAGCAAGATTAAAATCAATACCAAGTTAAACAGTTACATGTGAAGGCCATTATTATTGACCCCCCCCCTCTCTTCGGGGGAGGAGGGGGGAAATCCTGTCCGTATCTGGGTGAAATCATATTACTGGAAAGTAACTCCGGTCTTAAATTGTACAATGTTAACATAACATTATTTTACATTCCTAATATTTATAATTTATTTGCAATTAATTGAGAAAAAACGTAATTGCAAATATATATCGAAGTGAACAAATTCTCAAAGATAGTCACCGTAATAATAAGCGAATTATTGATATGCTTGAAACATTCCCCTCACGCTAACTGAGAAACAAAATGTACAAAATTCCGTTTTTTCTCTAAACATTTCTAGGAAACTTGGGTCATATTCTTGCTTGTCGTAACAATTTAGAGATTTTTTAATTTATAGATTATTTTTTGCACGTTTTTGCTTCAAACAAAAGCATTTCTTAAATGTTACCTTTAAATCCGATTGTGACACTTTTTTAATCGGACAATTGTTGAATTTTAAATAGACATTCACTTTAATTTCCAGGGTGGATCGATAATCAATTTAGTTTGTTAAACATAACTTGTTAATATTAAATATTTAGTACTGGTAGCCGAGAGCCAATATCTAAACGGAGAATCTCTTTTTCCGTGGGGTGGGGGGATTGAAACTTTTTAACTTAAATATTTTAATTAAATTTTACAATATTTTAAATATTTATATGATATCAGATGGAATTATTTTGAGATTTCTATATTTCTTATTCGTCATTTTCTTCTTGTTCGTACATCTTTCAATCATATTCGGCTAGTTTTGAATTAAAAAGAATGTTTTTTGGATGTCCTTATAGTTCGCCACTTTACAAAGAGAACTATTTTTAAACAATGTTGCTTTTTAAACTTAAAAAGCAAAAAAGGTTAAAGTCTGACATGGAAAATGTCCGAGAAATCGTCTTCTAGAACCACTGTACACTTATGTAAAGGGATGGGGGGGGGGGCAGTTTTATAATGCGCAATTGTCACAAGTGTTTTTATTGTTAATACAATATACAACAGCTAATTTTGGTCAAGGACATGCTGAATCGGAAATATTTATATTTTTATTTCCTCGAAAATAAAGATAAATGTATAAAAGTGCAGGAAAGTTACAGTAAAAGAAACTCACATCAAGAGCTAAATTTTAAATTTAGTTTAATCTTCCCTTTTTCTTTTTATAAATGATCCTTTGATTTTCTTTATCACTGCAAGTGCATTAAAGTCATAACCTTAGCTGTTAATTTATATAAACTGTATCTAGTGTCAAATTACTTATTGTTTTATGTATGTAGTAATTCTTATAAAACTTTTCTCAACTGATCTAAAATCTTTCAGATTGTTTCAGTTAAGTTTTTTTTCGCGCTGAAATGTTTCATCATTTATGTAGAATTTGGCATTAGACCACCTAAAAGTTTATTGATAATATGTGTCAAAGAAGGATATATTTTTTTTTTCACGACTTAATCTATTTTTGCACTTATGATGCTAAACCTTGTGTAGTCAATTAGAGATCAAGAGATTTTTACCGATCTCTCGTATTTGTATTTTAAGAAGATTAAAAAATAAATTAATTCTAAGCACTTGTAGGTTTTCTTTTTGAAGGAAAAAATGCAGCCACTAATTGTTAATATTTCAGGTAAAGAAGTTCGTGTTATTTGTGAGCAGTGTGTGACCAGTAACCAAAAGAAAGCTCTAAAGGCTGAGCACACCAATAGACTCAAAGCTGCATTTGTGAAAGCGCTCCAGCAAGAGCAGGAGCTGGAGGCAAAGATCGCCAGTTTACCCGAGGGCGCTAGCTTGGACACCGTAGTACCCAGTAACTCTAAGAAGATTGGACTAGAGGTTACAGTATCTAGATCTCGTTCTCCCAGTGTGAGCCGGCCAGCCACTACGACGTCTTCGTCCTACAGACATTCAGACAACAGAACTAACCGTAGTAGTCACCAATCCAGTCAAAGTTCAAAGTCCGCTAGGACGCCAGATTCTATTTATTCCTCGTACTTAAACAACTCATCCAACAGATCCTCATCCAACAAAAACTCAAACAGCTCTATGTCCAATCTTGCCTCTAACCTTCAAGGGTTTGATATTGCAAGCCTGGCTGCTCTCCAGGCAGCTGCTACCCAGCAACAGCTTCTCTACGGTGGATCGGGAGCCGCTGCGTCATCGAACAGCAACAGCAGTAAAGGAAACAGCAACAGTAACGCAAACAGCGCCGCGAACAGTATGTCTCAACTGGCAGCAATGTCACAGGCGATGATGATGTACCCGACTTACCAAGCACTGGCGATGGCACAGTTGATGGGTGCGGCGGGTGGCGGTACAAACGGTTCTTCCGGTTCCGCCGGCGGTGGCGGTAAATCTAGTAGTAGCAGTCAATCAGCTGCTAATCAAATGTATGAGCTGCAACGGCAGGCTGCGGAGCAGTTACAGAGACAATATTTACTAGACATGATTCCTCCTGGTAGTTTAGCACAATCATGGCAGGGAAAGAAATGAAAGCACTCCTATCCACGCTACCTTATAAACACGTAATCTAGAGTTGGACAATTACAAAAGTGATAAATATAAAACTCTAATCGTGTGATCCTGAAATGTGTGACTAGAGGGCGGGAGACGAACTCTTGACTACAAGATAACCCGAAGTTATCTCCTCATCCGATTAACAAATCCTGATCAGTGATGAAACTCGACTCTCGTCAGGATGGGTTTTTTCTACTCCCGAGTTTGCTGCCATTAAAAAAACCATGACTGATCCAAGACAAAAGTCCTGTAAATCACTGGAAAGTGCACGAGTACAAATAAAAGGTTTGGGTTGAGAAACCCCAGTGATACAACCCTGTTGAATTGTGTGTACTACAATTACAAGTCATGGATTTCTTAAGTAGGTTTACTAAATAAAACCATCTGGATTACCCTCACGATATGGAGAGGGATGAACTGACAATTTGATGGAAATGTAGAAGCATAGGACTTCAACCCAAACGTGCTGGTTTCAATGAACAAGGAGGAAGAAGTCTCCAGAACTGACGAAGAGAAACTGAGTAACCCAAACCGAAAGGGATCAAAACGGCGCGGAGAAGGGAATGCTTTGGAGAAAGAAATGCAACTCCAAACCTGAAGGGATGAAATCAGTCACGGGAACCCCTAAACCGCAAGGGATATTATCTGTCGAAGTGAAAAGTTTTGACGAAATGATATCAAGCCGAGTAATCCTGAAACCTGGCGGGTTTATGTCTGACGGAGTACAAAATCCTTTAACCGAATGGGATTAAAGGGGATTAAATCGGAGGAGGAGTTAAGATAACGATCTTGTTACTGTTTGGTTCTGTATGGAAGTATACATATTGTTTTATATCTTATTCAAGCATAATTGAATATACCTTATACCAAGGTAAACTAGTTAATAAATATTTCACGGTGATATTAAACGTTCTTTATTATTTTATCCATGTGTTGTATCATTGTATGCCATATTTTCAGATGACAACATGTGTTTTAGTAACAGTCAAATCAGGCTAGATCCGTACTAAATTAGTTTTCTCTACTTCGCATAATAAGTACAACCTCTTGACTTGGATACCAGGATAGAATCGTGGCTTTTAAGTTAAAGCTCGTATGAAGAGGGATGGTAGAATTCAACTTTCTAACGTGAACATTGAACCCTATCTTTAAATTGTATGTAATTTAATGCATCTCATACAGACTAATACTAAGACTGAAGTCGGTCCAGTTACAGCCGTTTTGATTGTCGAGCGCGTATTATAGTCTCTTCATATTTGTCAAATGATACAATTACAACATCCAAAAACCTGAAATATTCAAGTAACAATACGAGGAAATGGACTGGGGTCAAAGATGACAGGAATATCGAGTAGGTTAAAAAATAGGGTATGTTCCAGGGACACGGGGTAGGATGGATAAGTTACAAGGGATTGAAGTATATGTTGAAAGATAGGGGTAGAAAGAGGGAGGGAACCCTGCGACGCCATGAGCCTCCGCCGTGCAGACACGAGCCTCCCAGACCGCCATGCTGTAAGAGCCTCCGCTTTGCAGTAAACAAGCCTACGGGACATGCAGTAGACTTTATTTAGAATAACAGCATTCTAAGGCCAGGGGGGGCTGGACGCGCCTGGACAGGGATACAGAGTAGGTTTAAGGATAGATAGGACATGGATACAAGGATATGGAGTAGGTAATAGAATATCGGGTGTAAATATTGAGTAGTTTTAGGTAAAGGGTAGGATACATGGGTTGAAGAAGGTTTAAGGATATAACACAGGATACGAGAAGGTTTAAGGGTATAAAACAGTATACGGGAAGGTTTAAGGGTATAACACAGGATACGGGAAGGTTTAAGGGTCCAGGGATATGGAGTAGTATAAGGAATAGGAGAAAATACATCATACATGGATGAGGAGTGGATAAAAGGATAGGATATGGCGCGGATGTGATAATTGGCTATCTAATATCTGTATAATCTGACTAAAAGGGTTTAATTTCAAATGTTTGCTGGGCTATGGGAAAGATAAGTTGAGGCTAATTATAGGTTTGAGAGTTTATGACTCCAGCCAGGTTTGTAAAAGGATACGGGTTGACAGGTTTAAATATTTTCGAGTTTTATTGGAGACTAGGAGTTATATTAGGTTTAGAACAAGCTTCAAACCATTGAAAGAAGCCAAGACGGGGAGGGGGGGGGGTGGTTCTTAATTTTTTTTTTGATTTTTTCATCAAATCATTTTGTCGGGTTTTCGGGTTTATATAATATTAAATCCTGGTTAATTTATGGTTTGTATTTATGGTTTATGACAATGCTGTTAGCTGGTTAAAGTATGGTTTGGTAAGATGTGTCTAGAATGCGTTAATGTCTGAGTAGGGTTCAATATTGATTTTATTCCTTGTCTCTGTGCCTACTGTATTCATATACCCAGATATATAAAAACAACAATCCTTATATCTCCACAGAACAGTTAAATAAACATGTTTGTGGTTTTCTCTGATTTGTTCTAATCTGATGGTATATTTAACTAGATTTCAGTTAGCGTGGTTAATATTTGGGGTTAAACGCAATATCGCTAAAAGTGGTGAGAGTTGGACCTATTCCCGCCTACCCCCTAGTATCCCCCCTCCCCCGGTCCTAGTTACCCTCCACCTAACTGCCCCCTTACCATTTGCATCCATTGTAGCGAGGCAGGGTTCCTCGAGACGGGAGGTGAACAGAGGGGGGGGACCGCAAAAATTTGGCAAGATAATATGTTTCATATAATTTAAACATCATAATTTACAAGAAATTTTCAATTCTTATAGATATATTTAAAAGATTTAATAAAAGATATATTTTAAAAATTCAAAATAATTTATGTTTAATGATTATCTACAGTTGTATAATCAAAAATATTAAATATCAAGAAAACTAATCATATTTGTTTGGTTAAATTTTATTGTTTTTTAATTGTTTACAATTGAATCACCCTGTTCTTCTGCATGTTAGTGGAGTAAAGAGAGAACCCAGGTTCTAGCCTCACACTACTGTATTCATACAATTTTATAATATTTTAAACCCCTCGCTTCACCCCTGAACTAATATTCAAACCTGATTTAAACCATTTTTCGAGAAAATCTCATGGTCTAAATGGTCAGTTTCGACCATATTTTTTTCAAAAAAAAACTATTTTTTCAGAATTTATTTAGTTGTAAGAATAAGTAGTTATCAATAGAGGAAAGAGAGCGAGTGAGAGAGAGAGAGAGAACGTGTTACCAGGCCTATCATAGCTGGGTGGGAATATAATCGTATAAAGAGAAGTTTAACTATAGAAAGCTTAAAAAATATCCAAATATGTAGCAGGGTATCGATCTAGGATTAAGAATCGGAGAACAAGACTTGAAACCTTTTATTTCGAGAATCATTAATTCCTAAAAAAAAAACTTTGAATAAGTGATCTGCATAAATTGTAACGAAAACTTTTTCAATTGACTTAATTTCAAGCTTTATTGATTACATTTTACCTTTAAATGTCAAGATTACCAATGTAAAGGTTGATATCTCTATTAATATCATTCTAAACTTGGTTCTTTCCTGCTTCATTTTAAACTTCTTAAATTGTATTAATCAAAACTGTATTATGGTTCAACATAAGTTTCCATGGTTTTATGATCATAGACTTTTATTTACTTACTAAGATTAGTTCTTTAATTTTCTTTATTTATCAACCTATATAGCATTAGCAGAATCTATAATGGTAGATTCCTACTTTTATCAACCTTAAGCTTTTTATTCAAAAACCTATAAATACCTACAAATATTAATCTCAACTTCTTTATGCATCAATCTTAACTTTTTTATGTATCAACCTTAACTTCTTTATGTATCAACATTAACTACTTTATGCATCAATTTAAACTTCTTTATGTATCAACCTCAACTTAACTTTATGTATCAACATCAACTTCTTCTAACTTCTTTATGTATCAACATTAACTTTTAAGATATCAATCATAACTTCATGTATCAATCTCAACTTCTTTATGTATCAACCTTAACTGATCTTTATGTATCAATCCTATAAACTGCTCTTATCAACTTTGCAACTTAATTGAAATATCATCCTTAACTTCATGTATCAACAATATCAACGTACCTCTTTAAATATCATTATTCCCATATTTATTAGCGTAGATTTATATTTTCAATAATCTATGTTTCTTTATCTACCAATACATAACTTATCAAACGCAACTTTCAGATTTCAACTTATAATTAATAAAAATTTCTTCTTTTTTTATTTTCAACCAAAGTATGAGATTTTTACCCAGAAAATTTTCTATATTTAAAAACAAAAACGCACACTTTTTTCATAATCTATCCATTCAATTTTCAGTAATGTACCATCTTATGATATTATAGAATATATTTATCAGTTTAAACAATTTCGTGATCTTTGTAAATGACACGTTTCAACAGGCTGGCTTGGGTTGGATCATGGATACTATATCCTAGTCTGTATAGGGACCGAGAGACTAATTACACTAAATACCTGCTCGAAACGCAACTTACGCACCGTAATAAATATTAAAAATCTTAAAATCAATAAACCAGATGATGCCGACATTTAATTTTGAATGTCCGTGGTTAGTTTTAAAGTTGACCTATATACCCCTGTCTATATATTATATATATTTGCTCTCGTCTCCACCATACAGACATCTAATCTAAATTCAAATTATTTTGCCAAGGAAAAGGAAAGGCTGTAAGGGTAATGTGCATCTAAAACAATAATACCTATACATACTAAATGCACAAGTAAAAACCAAGGTTTTAAATAAAAATATATACAATAAGCTAGCGAATAAATAAGGGCATCCATATTTTTTTCTGAAAATTTTAGATTAAATGAGATTTATAATTTTGTATTGTTTATTTTTCTTCAGGGATAAATATATTTTATGAATAAGTAATCTGTGAATTACAACATTAAAAGACATATCATGGCCATAATTACTCTTTCCACTGTTATCTAGCATCTAAAAGAACTAAAAAGCTTTAAAAGTATAATCTCTCGAATTTCGAAGTTTTTTTGTTCAATTAAGTCTGAATCATATTTGTGAACAATTCATATAAAAATGAGCTCAAAAAGGTCCATAGGGTTGTTCAAGTTAAAGGGAAATGGTTCAGCCTTAAAGTTAATGTAGTTCAACTACTTTTTGCTTTTTATTATTAAATATGGTCTCACTACATTTAAAGTAAATCCATAGATTAAAAATCATCTTTCAAAGGTTACCAACCTATAACTTTGCAACCCATAAGCTGCAAGGGATAAAGGCCTTTGTTCAGATTATAGCAACTAGCATTGTTTTTTTCTACATCCGAAAAAATTTCATTTTTGTGTCTTTTGGGTGGTACGACCAATTACGCTTATACTAGCTGATCAGTGATCAACTACTTCAAACTAAAGTAAATACCTTTACCTGAGCTGATCTTACAGCAAAAACTTCAATTTATGCATTTGTTCAATCATTCTCTATTGCCTAGTTCTTTTGATGAATTATTTGTAAGAAATGCTACACTTTATGGAAACCTTTATTTTATGAGAAATTTAAATGACTTTTATGTGCCGTGAGTAAGAACAGAATTTTTTAGACAATTTCCTTTTTACTCATCATTTCCCACTGCTTGGAATTTTCTTTCGTATGAATTTAAAGAAATAGCTCTCAAAACCCCATTTTTAAACAATCGTTAAAAGCCAAACTTCTCGATAATCTTAAAGATTTTCAATGTGAAAAACTATTTTGAAATTCTTGCTCCTCCCTTTATCTCTCATTTATTTTTATGTGTTCCACCCCGGGAATGAAGGTACCCGACCTCTCCTTGACGGATGCCTGTACGTTTATGAACTGTATCCTCCAGTATATCCAGCTCCCTCCATCCCATGAG